TAATTGTGTTGTGCCAAATAGGAGCAATACTATTCTTTACCCTTACTAGAGATGCTATAAAGAACATTGGCTAATTTATTGTTTGAATAGCCTTGAATACAAGTTAGGTAATGAAGATACTAGCTCTCACTCTAGAGTTTCCTGTTCTCCCTCCGCCTAGGGGCTAACATCTCGTATCAAAACATAAAACTTCAAATTGGGGGCTTTAGTATGTCACTCTATAGTTCTATAATTATACACCCTTCAAAGTTTATTTCTTTATTTATTTGCACTAAACCCCATGAACTACATTCTCATCCATGAAACAAAGTGTGATTCTTACCATTTGTTGACTATGACGATACTATCTCGGATCTTACACATTCTCACAATTTGTATTAACATCTTAATTGGTCAAATCAAGAAGTAAATGAAATACAAGATTTAAAATCACCATAACTTCTTTCAACATTAAAGTCTAATACTTCACACAACTTCTCTCTAATACTTAACCACTTATCATTTTAAGAAAAAAAGATAAAGAAAACTACTTAGAATTCATGGAGAAAACACAATCACATGGAGGGAGAAAACACAATCACACTTGAGTTTGAAAGTAGAAATCATGCACTCAAACAAGAAGTCTAAATTAAAACCAAATGTAGTCACAAAGATAAACACTTATCTCAATTTATCTCCACCAAATGTCTTGAAATTCTTTTGAATATCTTCCTTCACTCACTATACAAACTAAAACTTCAAATATAAAGAAAAGGTGGTCGGCGATGGCGGCGATAGGCCTATGGTGGTTACTCTGGATAAATGGATGATGATTGACGATTGACCTCTTCCATGGATGATCCAAGTTTTCTTTTATAAAAATCCAAGAGGTGCCTTGGTGCCTCTCAAAATTTTTCTCCATTCAATGAATCTTCTAGAAGTTACCTCCTTCCAAAATTCAATTGAATGAATTTTTGTATATATTAACCATTTCCCACATTTTTACCTAGGGTTTCTTCAAACACCTCTTCAAAAATTCATCTAAATTCAATGAATCATTCATCTAAATTCAATGCATCTAAATTCAATGAATCATTAAATAACTACTTCTTGCACTTAAGCGCGGGGTACCTGGTGCTTAGGTTTGGCTCTTTCTATTTAACTAGCGCGTAACCAGCAGTCCTGGGCGCTTAGGTGCCTCAGTTCATTTTTTTTACACCTTTTCATTTTTGTTCTAAATTTGATCCTTTTTCACTCCTTTCACCATTTTTCATCCATTTGATTGTACCTGAAAAGAAAACACAAAAATTCCTTTTTATTAAAGCACAATATCTTAAAAATAGGTATAGAAATGTGCACATAGAGACTATATATTTTAGCTGTATCACATTCTCAAAACAAAGTTCTGATATAAATTTTTTACTTAAAAATATAATAATAATTTTGAAAATTATTTTTAATAAATTTTTCAAAAATTTAATTTCTCCTACTAAAGATACTTACACAATATTTATCATTTCTACACTAAAAATTTTTAACTTTTAAGTTTTTTTTTTTTTCATTATTATAGGTTTCAACTAAATTCTTTACTCATTTCTATATTTAAAATTTTACTTCCCTAATATAACTTCATGTACATAATAATTTTTTTCAAATCAAAATCAAATTTATTTGTAGTACATTTGAGAACAAATAAACTTCAAGCTTTTAGAAAATTTTTCATCCCCAAATTTAAATTTTTAATAAGATAAAACATTTTAGCATCATATTTATATATAGGTGGGAATGAAAACTAAAAATAACATGCTTACACGAATTTTTATAACCTAAATATACAAGTACAAAAATAAAAAATAGGAGTAAAAATTAATTGATCAAATTTTTATTTAACTTTAACATATAGAGATTAATTGGACTTCTATGCAGATGAAGATAACATAAAAACAAACAAACACACTAACAGAAATTCACATAACGAAAAGATCAAGGATGTGAATCCCAACCCTGCAGTAGTGGTAGCGGTAACAATTTAACTGATAATAGTCTAATAAATTAGAGATCCAATGTCAATCCGCTTGAGCTACTGAATGCAATAGTTCAAGGTAGCTCTATCTCGAGTAATGTTGCTAAGGTGGTTGGTTGGTTGTAGAAAGGCAGAAATAAACTAGTGCCACACTTTCGATGTGGCACCTAACTTTGATGTGGGGAAGTTGACACTTCTTTCATTCGTGATCTTCCACAATCCTCTTCCACCGGTCAACGACGATATGATCTCACTGAACTCCTCCTTAGTTAGACTATAATTTGAATAAAAACACAACGTACTAGAAGGCAACTAGTAAAACACATTTATTACCTCAGAGGAGAAAGGCACTAATTTTCCTTGAATTATGACTCGATTTTTTTCAAATTCAGGGAGATTAGCGTAAAACTCTTGAGCAATAGAAATAACAGCCACCGTAGAAAAACAACAAAATCGTTCCCACTATCGAGGAACAATCAAATCTTCCATTACTCTACCTAGACATTTAAAACATCTCTTAGGAATCAGTTTTCTTGACTGTAGTGCATCACTATACCTGTCGGGAGCTTTCGTGCTAACAAACTTGCTCAAATGTAAATGGGACTCCCTTTACTCCTCTTCACTCTTGGGGCCATTTCTAAAAATCACATAAAATTCACAATATATCCTAAATTCAAGACTAAATCACTAAACATAACTTCTAGAAGCTTAAACTATCTTTTTGTATGTATTTTCAATAAGTTTTTTCTCAAATTTTCATCATGAATAGTGATTTTCAGTCAAATCCACAATGTGCTCAAAATACATGGTGAAAATAAAAAATTTTTACATAGAAATAAAGCAAGATGATCAAATCTAGCAAATTTGTCTTGAATCCACCAAGAATTCTCCACTATAGAAGAAGCCCCAACTCCTAAATCGTGAACTCAAATGAAGAAGATGATGTCGAGGGTGTTAAATGGCATTTTTGGGTTTATTTTTCACCTTTAAACGTTCGCGAATTGGTTAAAGTGAATTGGCGCTTAAGCGCGACTAGTTCGATTCTTAGACGCCTACCTCCTAGGTTGTCCAACGCTTATAGGTGGGATCTTGGCGCTTGGCGCCAGTCCACGATGTTTGATATTTTTTATTTTAAGTGAAATGCACATCTAGCCTAAGTCAGCAACCCTAAATGGTCTTATAGTCGATCAGCCAGTTTGGTCTGACATGTTTCATGATCGCTTGTCATGAAATTTCGATCGATGGTAGTATACCTCGAGCTACTTGATCTCCTTGTGATTCATGTTGACAATTTCCCTGTATTCATAAATAAATATATATGAATATCAGAGATTTTCTTTTACTATATTTTCACTCAAATTAGATAAGAATTTAATCATTTCAAAAGATAATGTTGTAGTTTAACGCTATTTATAGATTATATGAAATTACATAATTCACTCAAACCTTTATTAGCTTTGATTTTGCCTGAACCTAATTATTTGATTTGATATAGATTTAAATTTTGCAAAATTCAAACAAATCAAGTAAAACTAATCAAACATAACATGTATAATTTAGAATCGCATAAGATGAACCGTTTGCAACTCAATCATATGTAGAATTTGAACTAAAAAACTGAAATTCTAAAAATCAAATTGGACATCTAACTAGATTGAGAAGAATGTCAATATTCGAAGGTTGAATTGAGGCTCAATCGATAATTGAATTAAAAGGTGTAATAGATTTTAAAATTATATAAATGTGAGTAAAAATGATATAATAATTATGCAATATATATAGCTTGAAAGAAATATATTATAAAATATAAATCATATGCTCAACATAATTTAGGAATTACATGCATAACCCTAAAAATATTGCTTTTTAAAAAACTGAGCAATTTTTTTTTTTTTTAAACTTTCAGGGGATGCATTTAAATGTGCCACGATCAAACTTTGCTATAATTTATATAACTAAATTCAGTTATTAACTAAAAGTATAATATTAGACAATCAATTTAAAATAATTTTATTTAAAATTAAAAAATTATTAAGAGAAGCCTTTTAATAGAAAATTATAATATTTAACATTGTATTTAATATTAGTTTAAACATTATAATAATTGGAATAGAAAATATTAATAAATGCATCATTTAATTTCACTTTGATTAATATAATAAAATTTAAATCTAGTAGCTATTTTTGTTATATAAAAGATGCATATATATTATATAATATGACTATTTTAAAAGCTTTGAATTAAAAATTATTTCTTCGGGTTTCGGGTTTATTTTAATATGAAAAGAAGAATTATTCAAAAAACAATAAATTTGATCATTAAAAAGTGATAATGAGTGTTACAATGAAGAGGCACAAAACATATTTCATAAACATAGAGATTGATGAGATTAAGCATGCAAAAAACAAGTGAAGAAATACGTGAATAAAAGGAAAAATTAGTGAAACAAGATCATTATTGTCTAATCAATATTGTCCATCTACAAGGAGCTCTGAGGTAATTCTAAATTACAACAAATAAAATTGCGAAATCTAATTTATACCAAATCTAATTCTAAATTCCAATAAATATTGAAATTTTTATTGCTAGTCTTATTATTATCAATATTTGAAAACAATTTGTTATTTGAAAACAATTTGTTTATACAATTTGTTTATAGTCAAAAGAAAATCCATTGTATTTTGATTTCTTTCTTCAATTCCTACTTGTTCTTTATTTATTTCATTGTTGTAAATGGATTTATTAATGATCTTTTTTTGTTGACTCGAAGAAAAGTTGTGTATTGATCTTAGAAATGGTAATGGTACATAAAAAAAATATCTATGCATATTTTTTCAATGAATGATTTGATAAAATAATGTGATTTACGCGTTAGTCGGATATTTTTCATTTTTAATTCCAGGCATTTGGAGTTATGAAGGTGTGACAGGGGCACATATTTTCTTTTCTGGCTTGTGCTTCTTGGGAGCTATATGACATTGGGTGTATTGGGACCTAGAAATATTCTGTGACGATCATACGGAAAACCTTCTTTGGATTTGCCCAACAAAATACCAACCCTCACCAATCTCACCATCATGGACAAAGAGAACAGAACAAGAAACAAAATTAGAGAGAGAGAGAGAGCTGCAACAATCAAACTGGTAACTTCACCATAAGCACAAGGTAGAATAATTATCTATAATTTTTCTAGTAAAATGGAGAAGAAAATTACCAATCTACCATGTTAAAAAGAACGAGATTGAAGTTCACCCCAGCTGCATGGAAGAGCTGATTTATAAGAACGACGAGCACAACAAGTCCATACAAATAAATTAGAAAATTTATGCACGAGAACCTATAACAATATACTTTATCAAGTCCGAAGAAAAACACCTTAGAAATTGTCCTTCGCTCGGCGAATGATTCCCAAGGCCTCGGCATCACTGGCGGTGGCTGGTATGCTCAAGCTGTGCCGGATTTCTTCACTGTATGTCCGCAAAAATGGATTGCATTGTTTCTCCCTCTTTAGTGTCGTCGGAATCTAAGACAAAGTTTAATGCCTAACTTACTACGAATTAGCAGAAAATAATTAAAAAAACATTCCTGCAATGAAAATAACTGGTTATTACAGTTAAAAGCAGTGCATTTATGTTTTTATTTACAAGACCTTTCCCATAATTTAGGCTGCACCGCAGGTGTTTTTGACCCAATCCTAATAGAATTCAGGTCATACACCTAACACTACCAACAACAATATAATTACACATAATAAATAAATAAAACTGATAGTCAACACGCCAAAACTATTAAACATTAATAAGTACCACACTAGTAAATTAATATTTGAAAGTATAGTTAAATTATCTTTTAATTTTCATTGAAAAATGAACAATGAGATGCTTATAATAAAATTAACCACATCCTAATATAAAACATATAAGAATATTTTGACTTTTTTTTTTCTCTGTTTCTATTTAGGGGCATTAAAATACATATCACAGAATTTTTATGTTATTACATAACTCATACCTAAACTTTAATATTTAAACAAAAAACATTCAATTATTTAAAATCACAAAAAAAAAATAGCACTATCATCGCTTTTTCAAAGTCAAATACGACTTTTCATCCATGGTTTAAAGCAACCAATGTGCTATATATGTAAATATGGAAGTTCAGGCGTGAGATATGTAAATACACAAGAATTGTTTCTGGAATTGCCAGCGGAGATCAGGTAATTACCGTTGGAAGATTCTTGCTGCGAAGCTGAGAGATTTCTGCAGCATATTTTAGTAGATGCTCATTCTTGGATTCTATGGATAAGGCAAATTTTGAATTACTCTGTTCATAATTGAGGATGTTGATGATTCTGTGAGTTTACAGCAAGATAAGTCCATCCAAATATAAAGCTATAAGCTTTTGCACTTCAATAAAATTATATACCAGAGTATATTCGTGGCCACAATATACATTTGTGTCATCTGGCAAAGACATAATTTTTTGAAGCGAAGAAAGCATCTGCAATAAAGGGTAAAAAATCCTTCTTGAAATTCTATGCTGAGAAAACAATCATGTGGACTCCACATTCAACGAAAATGCGTTAAAATGAGAAAATCAGCCATTCAATAGTTTTATATTAAACCTCATAAGCAAAGACTAATGAAACTTCCTATGAGAACTAACTTCCATGTTTAAATTTAAACTCGATCACGTGGTTTAACAAGTCAGGCCTAAAGCATATGTGGTCCTGCAACTACTGAGAATGATGCCATTTTAATTTAAATACAGAACAGAAAATAATAATTACTTCCAATGAACATGATTATTTGAAAGTAAAATGGTAAAACTATAATTCAAGGTCATTAGGGATGTGAGAAACTTTAATTTAGAGCTTTTTTTAAAAAATCACAAAGAAAAATCATGAAACAATTTTCATTTTGCATGTATTTAGTGCAAATAAAACATCAGTTCTTTTAATGGAATATTTGATGAGGGAGGACCTTTATAATCAGTTCATAGTAGGCGCATAAAGATTAAAAACAATTAAGATATGATCATGATCAAAATCATAATCATAACCATAATCAATTTCAACTATTAGTTTATCCCAACTAATAAAGTTCAGGTTAGAATTCTTCTATTCTAATTACATGCAATGTCAACTACAATTTGCAAAACCCTCTATAACTTCTAGCAGTGTAAAATAATTCAGAAATCAGAGGAAAAAATACCGCCAATGACAAGCAGGAAAATCTACTACCATATTAGCTTACAAAAAAATTGATGATTAATGAATCGTTATGCTCACACATCAAGATGAAAAACAGGTAAATCAGCAATAAATTTTTCTTTCATGAAAGCAATTACAATGGTAGTGAAGTTGTAAAACTAATGATAACTTAAAGTCTATATAAAAATTGAACAAATAATTGTAGAACATGCTCATGGTTGCTTGACTGGAATGCATTTTCATGAAAATAATGGAAGCTCAAAGAAAAAACACCTGACCAGGGCTTCCTTCAAAAAGTTTTCCACATGACAAGCTAAAAAGGGTGTCACCGGTAAATATTGCTCCACACCCAGGGAAGTAAAAGCTCACATGACCTGTTCAAAAGTTCCAAAATTGATAAATAAATTATTTGGAGCTTTAGATAAACAATTTACTGATAAAACTGAAACATAAGCAAACCAATCATAAGATTCATTCAATAAAAATGTGATGAAAGTATAAACATAGATATTTAGAAAAATCGATGTAGTCCGGCCAAAGTCGATTCACAAAGGCTCAATTTATAAGAGGCCAAACCCAAAGAGTCAAATCAGGTAAGAATTGGCTACATCAAACCAATTTTAATGTATTTCTTGGCATCTTACCAATTACAACTAAATTTTACAGATTCATTTATTTTTTAAAATAGTTTAAATAACATAAGCAAAAAGATAAGTTTATGTTTAATTAATCTTTTGTTTATATATAGGACCTTATGTAAGGAATTTCGTTATTGATTTGACAATTGAAATTATTATGAATTGAAAGAGGAATTCATGTGACACTTTATTGGCTTACCCAGTTTCCTTACCATGAGGATTCAACATTTACTGGTCGGGGAGTTGGTATTTGGTATCTTTTCATTTATTTTTTATCCCTACTTGCTACTTAATTTTGCCATTACACTGCATATCCTAAGTCAGTTTAGTAGGCAGAACAACCTTTCTCCTGTTTTGCTCTATCTTTTGTTTCAGGTTGCTCATCCACTTGAAAAAAATTGTCCTACAATTTTGTTTTTATTTAGAAAAATTTATACAATTTCTCCTCCTCCCAGATGCACACTCTCTCTCCTCTCATAAAGAGTGAATATAGATCCTAGAATTTCAAATATTATCTCTCCCCACCTGCCCCTTTTTTGTCCGTTCATTAACAGGAAGTGATATTATGTCCTCATCGGGGACTTTCTCCGCACCTACAGCCATCGGACTTTATATTTTTACCATTAACATGGGCTCAGAAATCAGTGAAATTTACTCCTGGTTCTCTCTCCATTAGCCCCTCTTACTCCTTTCTCTCTCGTCACCTTATCTCCATAAATTCCTAAAAAGCTTTCTCCATTACATCGTACTCACTATCTACTAGAATAATTATTGTCAACTCAGTTAAAATCTCCCTCCTAGGTTCAATAGGAATTGATGGCAACTCTTCCTCACTGGCTTGCAGCTAGTACTCCTCTTTTGTGTCCTTGCTCTCTTCCGTGTCAACTGTGTTATTGTTCATTTCTTCAACTGCTTCCTGATCCATAAAAGTGACTATTCTACTGGTTGTGCAATCTGATTCAAACATTAAACGCTTTTTGTTTAGCACAAATTTACGAATACTAGTTCTCCCTACATGCTCTCAACTCTGAATTGGCTTCACCTCATGAGAGGACATCTTGGATGTTACCCTGAATGTACTCTAACTGTAAGATTCTAGAGGAACCCTACCTGTAAGATGTGATGGTTGCCCAGTGATCTGGCCTCTCCACTCCACTTTTGAAATCGGAGTCTAAACATTCAGTCCATAGTGAGCTCGTAGGATTTGGCACTGCATCTCCCATTTCATCTTGGACCTGATAGTAATTTTACCCTTCCCTTCTTGCTAGTTTCACCACTGAAATGCACTCTTCTTGAACTTGTTAGTGGCTAGTTTCACTATTCCATCCCGTGGGACATATTGACACTCAAAGACACATTACAAAATCCAGAATCACTCGATAAATTCATCTGAATCCACGTGGTCGTGAAAATATGGCAAATCCACATTTACTTCAAAATGTTAGCTTCTCAAATATTTCAGATTAAGTCTTCGAGGTAAGAGGTTCTTCATCCCTGACAAATCCACCCTTCGCTTTAGTCTTTGTCCAATCACAATGATTGACATGACTGGCAGAGTCTAGATTTTCCCCTTCACAATTAAGAAAAAAAAAACATCCTGACAATTAAATGCTTTGAATCCATGCATGGAAGGTCATTGTATGCATGGGCAAAGAGATCTCGCTTTCACCTTGCCCCATGAGCAATCCATCAACATTCATTCCCCTCTGGACAAAAGATTAAAAATCTTTCAGCTTGTCGCTCCATTCCTTCGATCTAGCAAGTCATTATTATGGCTAAGGGTGACCCATCTATAAGGTTTCTTTTCCTCAAAATTTCATCGAGCCAGTAGCACTGGATGGAGTTGTTGTATCTCTTCCACGATAAATTATTGAACGGTGTTCAACTATTGTCTCCTCGGTGGCATGAGTAGAGTTTGAATTTGGGCTTGGATAGGTGGAAGAGAGTGTATAAGGACAATATATGGTGAAAAAAAATTTTTGGGTGGCCAAATTTAAAAGTCGACAAAATGGAGGATTTTTGCACGAAGGTGGAGTTGGAAATGGGTGGATGCTAGAAACACTATGAAAAGACTAGAATTAGACTAGCTCTGATACCAAATGATATCAGATTTAACCCAAACCATAACATAAAAGGAACATAATATTACTAATAATAAATAGGTGGTCACAACCAACACAACAACAAAAACAACAAAGCCTTAATCCCACTACGTGGGGTCGGCAACATGAATCTTTTTTCTCCATTGCGTCCTATTTAGTGTCATATTTTCTTCTAATAAATTAAGATCATTTTTATACAATAAGCACAAGTCCTCCTAGGTTTACCTATGTCTTTCTTAACATAAGCTGAATCTAAAACATCTGCTCTCTTAATTGGATCATCAGACGACCAAACCCATCTAAGACGACTTCCTCTAATTTTGTCCATCACAGAAGCTACGCCAACCCTATCACGGATATATTCATTTCACATTTTGTCTCAAAGTATAAAGCCACTCATCCACCTAATCATTCTCATCTCGGCAACACTTAACTTAGTATTATGCCACTCGTTTAAAGGCTAACATTCAGCGCCATAGAGCATTGCAGGTCTCACCGCCGCTTATAAAATTTTCTTTTTAGCCTAAGCGGTGCTTTTCTATCACAAAAAAGGCCCGAAGCATTCCTCCACTTCAACCAACCAGCTTGAATTCTACTATTAACATCCCTCTCTATATCACCATTGCTTTGAATAACAAGCCCAAGATATCAAAATCGTTCACACATTTTAATAATTTGATCATCCAAAGTTACACTTCTGTCACTTGAGCTGCTACTACTAAAATTACATTTCATGTATTCAGTTTTAGTTCTACTCAAATGAAGACCTTTAGACTCCAATGTAGACCTCCATAATTCAAGTTTTCCTAGGCTTTTTCTCTCGTCTTATCCACGAGAAGGATATCATCAGCAAGAAGCATACGCCAAGGTACATCCTCCTGTAAATGTCTAGTAAGGCCATCCATAACTAAAGCAAAAAAATATGGGCTTAAAAGTGATCTCTAATGTAATCCAACAGAAATAGGAAAATATTTGGTCATTCCTCCTTCAGTTAGAACGCAAGTAACATCTCTAGCATACATATCTTTAATGATTTGAATATAAGTCATATCAACACCTTTCTTCTCAAGTATTCTCCAAAGGATATCTCTTAGAACCTTACCGTAAGCTTTTTTTAAAAAAATAAAAATCAAATGTAGACAAATGTAGATTCTCCTTATTATCTCTAAACTTCTTCATCAAACCTCTCAATAAATGTATAGGTTCTATAGTAGACCTGCCCGGCATAAATCCAAATTGATTATGAGAAATCTTTGTAATACGTCTTAACCTATATTCAATTAGCCTCTCTCATAGTTTTAAAGTATGACAAATCAACTTAATTCCTCTATAATTTGCACACTCTTGTGTATCCCCTTTATTCTTAAAAATGTAGACCAAAATGCTCTTCCTCCACTCCTCAGGCATCTTTTTAGTATTTAAAATAATATTAAAGAGTTTAGTAAGGAGAGAAACTCCCAAATTTTCTAAATAATTTCATACTTCAATTTGGATATCACCATGTCCTACAGACTCTCCTCCCTTGGTTTTCTTTAAAGCCTTCTCAACTTTTTTTTGCTAATACAATGGTAAAAATGAAACATTTTATTATTATTAATGATATTAAGATCACTAAGGTGGGTCGTATTTTCAGAAACTTCATTAAAATGTTTATCAAAATAACTAACCACCTATGTTGAATATCTTTTTCTACGAAAGGCACTTTTTGATTTTCATCTTTAATACACTTTACTTGAGTTAAATCTTTACTTTTTTTTATCTTTGTTTGGCTAGTTTATATATATATTTTTCACTCTCCTTAGTATCTAGTCTATTATAAAGATCATTAAAAGAAAAATTTTTAGCATCACAGATTGTTCTTTTTGACTCTTTGTGGATCGTTTGATATTTTTCTGAGTTTTCTAAGTTTTGATATTTAAACTAATTTATATAGCATAACTTCTTATCTTATATATTTTCTTGCACATTATTATTCTACAACCAATTATTTTTATTTAAAGAAATTTTTTATTTTAATTCTCCAAATACATCTTTTGCTACTTGTTTAATAGTGTTTGTTACTTTATCTTACCTTCATCATAAACATCTTAAATTTTGAAATATTGAATTTTACTCATAAAAAAAAAAGCTACTTGTTTAATAGTGTTTGTTACTTTATCTTACCTTCATCATAAACATCTTAAATTTTGAAATATTGAATTTTACTCATAAAAAAAAAATTATTTGTCTTTTAGGTTCCCCCATCTAATTCTACAATGATGAATACTTACATTTTTTATTTTACAACTCTTCATCTTAAAATCTAGAACTAATAAACGATGTTGGGTACTTAAATTTTCACTTGTAATAACCCTACAATCCTTACAATCTCGACAACCTTCTTCTCATAAGAAAATAATCAATATATTTTATTAGATACATTCTTATAAGTAATAAGAAATTCATTTTTTTTCTTGAACAAAAAATTAGTAATAACAAAATCATACGCTAAAGCAAAATCTAGAATAACTCTACCTTCTTCATTAGTCACTCCAAAACTGTAGCCACCATAAATATTTTTAAAATCTTCTACCACTCTACCAACATGTTCATTTAAATCTCCTCCAATAAATTTTTTTTCTTAAAAAGGTATTA